GACCCAGGACCAACTCTGTCAGCAGCCTATCTCAGTTTTGGGAAGAGACCTGAGGAAAGCAGGAAAAGACTGAGGTCGTGCAGGACAAGAGAAGAGAAAAGTAGGTGAGTAGTGTGGGGTGCTGCAGAGAAGGGAAGGAGAAGCCAGGACAGGTAAAGTGATTTGATGAAGGTCACAGGAAAGGGGAAGGAGCAGTCAGGCACTCCTGGCTGCCAGATGAATCTGCTGTCCCAGGAGGAGGCCTGGGGCTGAGAATTAACCTGGTCACCTTAAAGACCTTCTCCCCACAAGGGATTGCCCAGTTCCCCTTCTCACCTCTTTGCTCTCAGGGAAAACTTTCTAGCTCTGTGAAAATACCTGATGACCACAGGGTCACCTTCCACACCAGAGAGGAACTCCATGATAGGGAGAGGAAGCCCTGGCCCCTCCAGAGATCCCCACTTCTCACCTCACAGCCACTGGCTTTGCTCTGCCACAGCTCCAGTGCTCTCCTCACGCCTGCCCCACACAGCTCCCAGCTCTCACCCCACACTGTCCCTGCCAAACCTGGCTTCACCATCACCCTGGGGCTTGCCAACAGCCCACAGAGTTTCTACAGCCCCTGGAGCATGAGGGTCCTGACCAAGATGAGGGGCTCTCATGCCACACAGACATTCACCAAGGAAGCCCACACAAGGACTCTCAGCCCCTCCCCAATGCTCTTGGAGAAACTAGCTTCAGCCACTGGTCCATCCAGATGCAGTGGGCCTGGATGGGCTGCAGGCAGCTCACAACAAATGAATAAACTCAAAAAAGCAACCCAGAGATCAAGAGCTTTGTTTGAAGGTGGCAAAGACGTGCTCCAGATGCCTGGGTCCTCCTCGATACCTGCTCCGTGCGTGACCTTGGGCAAACACCTTTGTCAGCCCGTGCCTCAGTTTCCCCATGCATCAAAGAGAAGTGATGCCTTTTGCCTTAGCAGTGTGTGATATAAAGACAACCAAAGATTGCAGAAGGTCCTTGTACCCTTGCACTTCCCAGGGATATTCCTGACTGGAACAACTGAACAGGAGCTGCCACAAACTCCCTGAGCTGCTGTGCCCTCCCCAGCTCTCTGGATTACCATATGTTTTAATATTTTCTGGCTTGGGTGTCACCAACCCCAACTTCCCACAGCATCTCCCAAACCACAGAGAAGCACAAGACCCTGTTGGGGCTCCCACGCTCCCTGCCCCATGCCAGACCCCAACCAACACCCCTGGGGACACAGGGTCCCCTTCTCAGTCCCCTGAGCAGCCGGGGGCCTGCGGGACCCCCATCTCCCCCCAGGGACCCCATCCTGGCCTTGCCAGCCCCACACAGACACCTTATGGGGGGACACCCTCTTCGTGTCCCCTCCCAGCTCTGCAGCGAGGGAACACACACCCACCCACCTGGGCACTGTCCCCCTAAGGACACCCACCCACCCCCAGGGCACTG